GTTATTTTGACTTTCAATATGTCCCTTTAACTTGACCTAAGTCTACTTTCTCACCTCTGAACTCTTTGTTATATAGATATGCTGAGTGGATTTTGTAAATTCCAGTTTAATAATACAACTTTGAGAAAGCTATTAGCAGAAGCATTAAATAGCGAAACGTCAGTAAAAACAATCTCGTTTTGTTTTTCATTCATTCATTGGGAAATACCAAAAAACCTTTATTATAATGAATATCATATACCCAGTGCCCAAATTTTTTCAAACCGTTAAAAGGGTACTTGGTTTGGACATATATAGCTTCACAATTTGCTTTATATACATAGATATTCTATTCATCATGTTATTTATCGTAATTTTCCACATAGCCTGGACAGGTATTGCGTCATTTCGATTACACATGTTTGATGTGGATTAGGTGAACGAAAATCCAGTGAGAAACCTCTCTCTCTCTCTCTCCGCTTAAATATATTACATTTTAATACTTTTACCATTTTAATATACGTGTAAAAGTTGGGCCCCGTTGTAGTAGTATGTAATTCCATGTTAGTTTGTTTAATAGATGTATCTATCACACAGTGAGTGAAACAGTATTATTTACTGGATGACACAGTTTCGAACAAAATTTATTGTTCATGATCATATCAATTATAATCACACGACTTGGAAACTTGAGTTTTCTTTGTTGTCTCCGAATTGTCAACGTAGAGGTAGTAGAATTTTCCAGATATCTTGGATAACGGAAGCTTTGTTTATCAAATCAACGGCAGTTGCGTGTAATAGGAATGATTCAACACCTGTCCAATCAGATATCTGGAAAATTCTTCAACCCCAACGACGACAAATAGGAGAGGACAAAGAAAATTATAAAACTGAAGTTTTGCAGTCATGTAATTGAAAACTGATATGATTATGAACACGAATAAATTGTGTTCGAAAAGTTGCCATCCAGTAAATAGTACTGTTTCTTCACTGTGTGATATATATCTAATAAACAAACCAATATGGAATTACTCTCATCCTTTCACGCCCTAATTTGTGATTTCAAGTGAATGTGAGACAATAGCTGAGTCTTTTTTTCCAGATCTAGATCTGGCTAACTTCATAAGTTCTGATAATTTGTTTGACCTCGATCTACTAGTTTGACCTGTGCAATCTGACCTCACAATCATTGGATAGCATTTAGTGAATTATACATACTTTTTTTCTCATTGGAAATATCACGTCATTGATAGGATCCAGCATAAAATAGTAAGTATATCATCCTTTCTCACGAGTCGTATGATTTATCATGTGATGAAGTTACTATGTTAAGAATGTATCATTTCTCACGCATACCTTGTGATTTATTGTACGTGTGTGTGTGATCAATTCGTCGTCTTTTGTCTCACCTTAATCATTGTCGGATCATCAACCAATCAGAATAGACACATATTTCCAGCCAATAAGAATAGTCCATTCTCAAGGTTATGAGTCAAATGTATTGGGATGAAATAAATATATAAATATGATATTTTGATGCCTGATAAAGTGTATGAAATGTATAGTCACAGACCGGCCTTTGTCATTTATTGTTTGCATGGCTCAGTGAATCGGAAGGTACAACGGACAAATAGGCAGAATAGCGTACCAGTTTGAATTCATTACCGTTAAAGTAATTAAAAAGCGCAGATATAACAAATCGGCAACGGATCGGTTCCGTTCAGTCATAACAGTCCTCGAAATGACAAACCTTTATCTTTGAGAGAGATGGTTGCCTGATTTAAACGACACTTTAGTTCCAGCCTCATTAAGAATCCTACGTAGGGCTTCTGATGTTCCCGATTTACATGACAGTACTATCCAAGCTTTGAATTCTGTACTATTTATGTTTTGTTTTCATTAATTTCATTGTAACCATAGATGACAAGAGACTTGGTAGAGGAATGTTTTCAAGCATTGGTTTTGTAGGGATTTCTTGTTTGATTGGATGGTGGATTTCATCATGAGCTGACATCAGTTAGAGAAACACTGGAAAGCCAGCGGGGAGTACTGGACAGCCGTTTCCTCCATCCTAGTTTGGGACTCTTCATCATCAGTACGAATCCACCGCCAGGGTTTGAACCCAAGACATTCTGGTTACAAGGCAAGCTCGCAGACCATTGAGGCACTGAGACTCAATCTATTGGACTATGAATTCTAACTTCTGCCAATTCACTGCAAAACGTGACCATTTCGCAATGTCTTCTTCGATGAGTTACTGTCTCATCTTCAACCTTCTACGAGTTCGCCTTGTAACCAGAATGTTCTGGGTTCGAACCCTGGCTGACGGAGGAAACAACTGTCCAGTACTCCCTGCAGGTGCTCCAATGCTTCTCTAACTGATGTCAGCTAATGATGAAATCCTCCATCCAATCAAAGGAATGTTTATTTGCAATTTGGTGTCTCTATATCAGCGAAATTATGTACACCTTATCTTCAACGCACCATTTGCGGAGGGATTCCGTCGTGATGTTCTACTTCTGCCCTTCCTTCATCTTGTGTCTCTTTGTCTTATTTTTTGTGTCTGTCATGTTTTTCCGCAACACTGGTTCATTTTCTCTCTCTCTCTCTCTCTTTGACGTTGAATCTATCTACTACTCGCTATTTGATATTTTTATGCTGATGAACATCTCTTTATATACTACTATTAATAAGTTTTATCAGTAGCACACGCTACGCCATTATTACTCTCTACCACAAAATTTGTTTGTAACTAGGGAGGGGGCGGCTATTGGTGATCTCATTGCCACCTCATTTGTTTGATTGTGTTGTGATATGACTGTGAGTAGCAAAAATGTGCTCAAAATGTCATTTATTGCTTAATACTTTTCTCATGTGTGTTATTTCGAATAAACTTATCTAATGTGGAATTACATTCTACACTTACATTACTAACTCCATTTGTTTGTTTGTTGTTTGTTTGTATATTTAACTTTGGGATTTGAATACAGTGAAATTTAGGGATGATTGTACACCTGTTATTTCATCAACCAACAGCTTTGGTCTGTTCGTGAGTTCAGGATCAGTGTCCAGTTCTCATTGCTAACTGCCTCTGGATCTGAATTTATTCGGTGTCTTTTTTATTCCTTTACGTTTCCAGTGGAACATAGGGCGGCTTCAAGCTAGAGGCTTGAAGTTTCGCTGGTAGTGGTGTTGATTTTTACAGGATGAGGTTGCTAACCTTATGCCCAACCTTCCCTCTTTACCAGTCTTATTAAGGCTTAGCGAGGTGAAGGAGTGCATCAGTGGTCAGGGATCTAACCCGAATCATATGGGTGGTTGCTGAGCATTGTACTGTTGTGCCACCGACGCTCATTCATTCGGATATTGATGCATAAACGCTGATCCTATATATTTTATTAAACACACTAATTCAAAAGCCTGATGAGAATTCCCCGAAAACACATATTTGCTTAAATGGTATTCTATAAACTTCAAGCATCAAAAATAATTATTTTTAAATCTTTTTCTGTTTGAACATTATCTAACTTTCGTTTCATTACGTATGAATTAGTTAACCTAGAGTCTTGTGCTAGACTCCTTCCTACCTGGTACATCACTGCTTTTGAAGAATAAATTTATTGGTGTTCGTTGTTTTATGAGCCATTTTAACGTCAGTATGAAAAATGATTCCTTAGTAATCGGTATATTACCGGAAAAATTGACCTCCTGTAGGACTGCAGTAGGTATTTTGATTGGACACTAGTAACTAGTGCGAAACCAAGGTGTGTCCAAGGCTTCCTGTAGCCGATTGCCTCCAACTGTCTAATATCATCAAATCAATGTGCACCGTGATTGTGAGCTGTCTAGAATGGTGGCCACATTGCAAACCTGACTGACTGATAGAATTCAGTCTGCACCAAAGAAGGGAGTAGACACGTTGCACTGCTTACTAGTGTCCAATCAAAATATAATCGTGTTTACCTAAATCATAAAATTCCTTAACACTATTCTTCGAAAATTGCTGACACCGTCTATTTCAAAAATAGTCCATTACAAAGAGAATTCAACAGAAAAGTAAATGGTTGAAATCTTGTTGACTGTGTTTTATTTTATTAAACATTACGCTCTTGTTCTCCTCGGTGCGTTTTATACTACGACAGATCCAACTTATTGTCCTTTGATTAGGATTTTTCTTGTGATATTGACTCCATCCCTGAAGGGGACAAGTAAAAAAAACACAATATTCTAAAGCCCCGAGCTATTTAATGCCTCCCTAATTGATGTCGGTTCATGTTATGGTCTACAATGAATACAGATCAGAATCCCCCACATGTATTCAAAACAATGTTTAAAAATTCAGTAAATAAGAGTGATAGTTAATAACTTGAATCAATTCGGTGTATGGTTACTAGCAGTATAATCCAGGATGCGCATTCTCTTCTATTTAGGACTCGTCATCTGAAAGTACCCGCATTCCCTAGTGACAGATGATGTTCCCACTGAGGCTCAAACCCCGTAGCCGTCGTTTCAAATGCCTAAGCACTACTCAATCAACCACTTGGGCCACAACAGTCACCTGTTGTGCAGTGAGTGTCAGTTATTATTTATTTTGACTTTCCTATTGGATGAGTCGACCGAAATTTTCAGCTTTGGCGTTGAAAACGATGACTACTGGACTCTAGCCTCAGGGGGAACACTATCATCCCTGAACATTATCGAAGCATCTGCACAAAGAGCCAACATATCAACAGAAGCCGAAAAAATTCTCTGCAATCAATAATCAGCGGAAAAATCAAAACAGAATTGAAAAAAAATGAATCATAAGAGTGGAGGGTAATTCTGTCAGCAATGTAGGTAAGATTTTCATTTCATGTTATTCCAGTTATTTGACTATTTGAATCACCACTATTTTTAAATTCTTTTATGATGTTTTAGTGTTTAGAAATATTCTCTACTTCTCTCTCTCACCCTCTCTCTCTAACCTGGAAGGCAAGATCTTTTGAAAAACTTCATCATATTATCTCTGTAACTGAAAAATTATGACTACAAATATGGGATTATTTTTATATTTAAAGGAGCTGATAATTCTAACCAGTTATGTAATGCTTAGCATTATTTATGATTGCTATGAAACACTGAAATTGTACATGTCCCCTGTTTACAAGGATATCAGTGATGATGTTATATTAATTACAGGTGAGTAATTTATCTAACTAAAGATGCTTATTAAGACATTTACAAGACTGATATCAGGGAGCAAAGAGTATATTCTTTTCGACAAATTTGTCATCAGATCCTGCATTTATACAACCATTATAATCAGAGAAATATTGTTTTAATAAGAACATTAATGCTGTTTTAAATTACACTGAATCAACAGTATCGATAGATTATATTTCAAGAGCATCTGTAAGTGATAATATAACCGGCGAAGAGTCCCAAACTAGGCTGACGAAACAGCTGTCCAATCTGAGCGTTTCGCTTTTTGCAGCAAATTAGACAGTTTCAGGTAGAAGTCATCCTTTAGTTCATCCGAACTGCAGTCTGTTGGGGCGTAAGCGGAGACTACGAAAAGGCAACAACGGATAGCGCCATCTTTCCTTCTTTTAACGGACCCATTCAGACGGACCGCACACATACGACTATCTACTGGGATCCAGTCGAGAAGTGACTCTTCCTCCCTAACACTTAGCGCTATCCCTACACCTGTGAGTCCTTGCGAGCTAGCTGAGGGGTCTCCTGACACCCTTAAAGTGAATTTTGTAGATTCACCTTGTTTACCGGGGAGGTTAAATGAATGACCACACTCGGGTCTTGTATGCGTATCTCCAAAACACAACATACATCCATGGCTCAAGTTGCCAGAGTTCTTGCTAGTGATGCTTGTTGTCCGATTTGGCAGAGGGTTCTGACGTTAAATGCCCCTATATGAAGTTGGTGACGTAGCTTTAAAAGGCTGTCTGGGTGTTTCTATGGCTCTCATCGTTGTTCGTGGTCACAGAGTGAAGTGAAGATGACTCATTAGCCTGCAGAATAGTACTAACTGTAGTAGAGAAGCAAGATGAGGAAGGTGATATGAGTGAAGGGGAATGATGCTCAGGAAGGCTTCGTGTGCTTTTGGAAGTGTGTGGGCGGTTGTTACTTCCCGGCTGCCCACACCGTGGAAGTTGATTGGTTCTTTGGGAAACTGAAACAGAAAGAGAGTTGCGTGACCGCAGAACCCAGGAGAGGCCGGTCACACGCGGTCTGTTTTTGTTTGTTCTTTATTGTTTGGTATGTCTCAGTAGCATATTTATCACTTCTGCCCTGTAACACGACAGCAGGAAGCGCGATCGTTGTTAATCCGGGCCCCGACCGATCCGGCATGATATTTTGTGATTTTGTTTCAGTCCTAGCACTGGATTGGGTAGCTGCTTTTTGTTTAACCGCTATCCAAACAACCTTTCCGGCATAGTCTCAGCCAGTATAGCTTGTTGGGTCATTGCGGTGTTCAAGCTGTCCAATACTTCCCACAATTTTTTGTTAGTGGTTCTCTAGCTGACGTTAGCTCATGATGACATCCTGCAACCAATCAAACAAGAAAAAAATAGCAATAAACTGAATATCAAAGAAATTAAGGGAAGTAATACAGAATTTATGAATTTATAGTGTTCCTACAGTAGGTCAAGGTGGCAACACTGGCTGAATCTGTTAATTTTGCACATACAACTCCGGTTACTTTAAGCGAATTGCAGTGGCCTCTGCTATTTGGATTATTCAGTATTTAATTTATTTGATGTGCTGCAGATGACAGAGGAAGACTCTTCATTGTCAGCTTCATAATAATAATAATAATAATTTTTGCTTTATTCCAAAAACAGTACTAATGATACAGCAAAGAGTTTTCAGCATTCAGTACAATATATTGCATCTAATTTACTCAAAACGACAAAAAATAAACATTAAATAATAGTAATAATAACAAAACGTCTTTATAGCAGCTATGTAGCAAGCAGTATGCGATAAGAAGAAAAATATGTATACAGTATAAAAATTGTAGTAATAATAGTAATAACAACTAAAATAAAATAGCAAAGTTATAATTAAACGATAGAAAGGATGGCAACATAAAAATTACAGAAAGATGAACGATGAAAGGGTCGATTCACTTTGCTAATTTACATTAGTAACTTCTTGTATGTTTCACGTCTAACAGTGTCATCATCTTAATATCTTAATGACGTTACTTATTTTCTGTTTGTTATTCCATGTATATATATAGGTGCAGGGAATGGAATTGGTCGTGAAATGTGTCTAGAATTTGCTAAATACAGTTCAAATATACTAGCTCTCGATATAGACGAAAAAGGTCTTCAGGAAACTGCTGTTTATGTGAAAAGTGGAAGAGGTGTACAAATTAAACCATACCTATGTGATTTAAGGTAAATAAATACTTTTTTTTAAAATTATTTTAACATTGAAAGGAGAATATATTCACACAGTGAAAATTGGCTGTTTCCAATGTATTCATTGTTATCAAGTTGTACATACATATGAAAGTTTTGATAGTTTGAACCGAGTTCACGAAACACGGTTATTCATGTCCCTGGCTATGAGTCACACTTACTGTATGAAAGCTGATAATGCTATACAACTGTCCAGCTCAAGCAGATGAAGAGGGAATCAAACCCAAGATCCCCTGGTTGGAAGGAAAAATTCAGCTTTTGTTCGGTGAAGAAATATCTCTTTTGAACAATTTCATTTCAAGCTGTGCAGTCGTATTCATATTACGGAAGAAGGAATTAAAGGGCAATAGAAACTGCTCAGTCAGTATACATATGTTAAGAATGATACATGTGTAAAACTTGGGCACTGTGATAGTAAGTAATTCCATATTAGTTTCAGGATTTTGTCATAAGCTGACATTGGTTAGAGAACCATGGGAAAACCTTGGAGTACTGTACAGCTGTTTCGCCGTAGTTTGAGATTCTTCAGCGGTACGCACCCACGGGTGTTATCAATCAATCAAATCCCTACACACCGACACTTGAATACTGATGAGATTCTCACTGGTGACTTGTCCTATTCAGGTAGGTAGTTACCTGGGGTTCTAGTGGGAAGTCGTGACCAGTAGGATGCAGCACGTTGGGTGTGAAGACAAATACTCACCGAAGACATTGGCTAGCGGTTGAGCTATATCATGAATTGGCAGAAGTTAGAATTCATGGGTTAACCACTGGATCGGATCCCAGTGACTTAATGGTTACGAGCTCGACTTGTAACCAGAAGGTCCTGGGTCCGAACCCCGCTGCGTGCGCACTGATGAAGAGCCGTACAGTACTCCCCTGTGGTTTTCCCATGGTTCTCTAACTAATGCCACCTCATGATGAAATCCTGTAACCAACCAATCAAATCCCTACAAACCAACACATGAATTCCATATTAGTTTGTTTATTACATGTATCACACAGCACTACGTGCAATTACACACAACCACGTAATAGGAAGTTGATGGGATAAAATGACATCTTTAAAATCTAAAGTCACAGAGTGGAGGGAGAGATTGATAAGAGAAGCTTTGTTTATCGATTCAGCTGCAAACACGTGTATTAGGAATGATTCAACACCTGTCCATTCGGATATCTGGAAAATTCTACCACCCCTATGACGACAAATAGGAGAGGACAAAGAAAACTATAAAACTCAAGTATCGAAGTTGTGTGATTATAACTGATATGATTCTGAACAATAAATTTTGTTCAAAACGTTGTCATCCAGTAAAAAAAATACCGTTTCAAATTTATAACTGAGTTGGATGTTTTTTGACGTTGTTATTCCTCCCGAAGCTGGATAGTTTGTAAATGTAACTTTTCATCGAATTTGGTGCGCTGTTGTTGTCGTCAAGAAAACAAACAATAATTATTTTAAAATATCAGCTCTTTTCTGGAAATTATGTTTACACGCAATACAGAATTCTTCGCCTATTTTCTAGCAAAATATTTACTTCCCGTATAGAATCTTCCAGTAAAATATTCATCGCATGACACAACGTCGCATTCTATCTGAAACATCACTCGACTTTCCATGACATTTTTTTGTCCAATATTTTCTTTATGAAGTACACTTACTACACAGTGACAGGTTGGGAGTCAGTTAAACGTTTGCGGTTTGAGTTCATGTTAGAATCCAGAGACACAATTCGAGGCTTAAAACAACAAGAATCGCAGAAAAGTAGAGGTATTATTCTGAATAGGAAGTTAGATAGCACAGTGGTGGGGTCTCAATTATAAGCATAGAGCTTCAACACCAAATCTCTATTTCACCCTGTTTCCTGCAATCGCCTTTCTCTGGATCCAAGATTGCTCGTAAGCTCTCATCTCCCAATGCTCCTCCTCTTCCTCACATGGTCTCATTGTTGAATATGGATGCTCATTCGGATTCTACTCTAGTGACAGCCTGGAGAACAATGTCTTTCAACGGTCTCCTTGATGTGTATCTCATGTTTGTTGGTCAAAAGACTCTTGTTTGGTTTGTCCCTTGCTGCTAATCCTTCTTGGCCGTCCATCTGACCTACAGGATGGACCAAAGTATGAAGCTGTTGATAAAAGTCTGCAATAACCTTTTCGAACCCTTCTAGTGACACGTCAAATCTCTGACATTGGTGTTCAAAGTTTGAATCTTGTTCTTTATGTTGAGTGCAGTAGATTTCTGCAATGATTTCAGATCAATGAAGGTCATATTCCTGTTTTCACGTTCCTGCTTTTGGCATCGCCATCCGTGTCTCGCGTATTTAAAACGTTGCTGCCTATTCAAATAGAAGAAGTGATTTTCCTTGAGACATTTACTGCTGATGGTGACTGGTGCTTGCTGTTATTGTTGTTTTTGTTGGTTAGGTATATTCAAAGTCTCTGAATTCTCTGTGTTCACTTGAAGTCATATCTACACTGCTCCTTCTTCCAGCTTGTTGGTTTACACCAGTAAAGCCTCAGGTTTGTGTGACCTTAGACATAAATCATCATTCACGAAGTCCAAATCTTCTACTGTATTTCTGTCGTTTGAACGTATGCCATTCAAGGAGGGGGTGGGGTGAACAGACTGGTCTAACAAAGTAAAACCATGACTGCATCTTTCCTCTCGGTGCTCATAAGGCTAAGGTAAACAGACGCACTATACATACTCCATTTGATACACATGGCTTCAGCTGTTTTAAGAAGCCGAAAATGAAGCAAAATACTACAGGTTCGTCCGTGAATTCGATAAATCATTTTCTAGATTGATTGATTGATAGGTTGAAGTTGATCAAATATTCCAGAACGGAACTTCTTCGTAGGAAGGTCTGTTGCTATTGCAAAAGTTTCAAATTAAACTATGGCTATATATGAAACATAATCCAAACAATTTAATTTAATTTGAGTACTTTCCCGTCGATTGACTGGACCAAAGTGCTTGGTCTCAGGTTGACATGTTGGCTTCTTGTGCAGATGCTTCGACGATATCTGGGTATTTAATTAGAATGTAACCAGTTGTTGGTGACTAGCGGTGGAATCCAGGACGCGCATTTCGTCCTGTTTGGGACTCGCCATCAAGATGTACCTGCATTTCCCGGTGAGCGATGATGTCCCCACCGAGGCTCGAACTCAGTGCCCGTAGTTTCGAACGCCAAAGCGTTATCCACTTGACCACTTGTGCCATGAGATCCACCTCTTGTGCAACGGGTCATATTAATTTTATTGAATTTGGGTGGGAATATCATCACTCACTGGGAAATGCAGGTACGTCCGGCTGACGAGTCCCAAACAGGACGAAATCCACATCCTGGATCCCACTGCTAGTCACCATCCCCCAGTTAAATTATCCAAACAAACTAATTCATTTTGTTTTATTCTTATACAAAAAGTTCGCCAGCAGACATCGATCGTATTGTCAATGAAATTCTACAAGATTATGGACGGGTTACAATCTTGGTGAATAATGCTGCAATTATCAATTTATTGCCATTGTTACATCTTAGTGTAGACAAATTTGATAAATGCTTCAAAGTCAATTTTTATGCATACTTCTATGTGAGTATAATTTTGTAACCTTTTTTGTTGTTAACTAACCTTGTAATTTTGATGTGGTTGTGTTTTGAGAAGCTTTCATCGCCCTACGTACTAGGCAACATCTTCAGCGCATACTACTTCAATTTGCTGAAGCGAGCTTTTAGATTTCTCCATGAATTTATTAGTCATCTCTCCTGGTGGGTGACCTTGAACGTGATTGGTTGTTTTTGGGTGTTTTCACACCCTCTAGGCAGCTACTTGTATTGGAACTGATCGTTCCCTTGACTTGAACTTTGACCCTTTGTATGTGAGGAAACAATCTGTTCGAAAACAAGTAACCTAGAGGCTGTGAAAACACATAAAAACAACCAATCACGTTCAGTGTCACCCACCTGGAAAGATGACTAATAAACTCGTGGAGAAATCTAGAAGCTCACTTCAGCAAATTGAAGTGTATGTGCTGAAGATGTTGCTTAGTAGGGCAATTAAACCATCCAGCTCAGGGAACACAACCACATCAAAATCATCCACCTGAGGTACAAATCTTCTCCATCATATCTAACCTTGTAATTGATCTTCAAGTCATTAAAAAGCTCCATATACACCAACTAGATACTATGCAATAACTGTTATCTATTTCCCTAGTGTTGATGCTGATCAAGATGTTACCAGTAAGGTGTGCAACGCGGCGAACCCAGTAGATGACTCATCATTACTGCAGGTAGGCTTCAAACTATGTTTGGTGCTGAAAAGTTTAGTGGAAAAATCTTGGATTACAGTGATACGTGTTGTTAGTTGGTCGATTCTCGCAAGCAACGTCATTTCTTTTAACGTTGTACATACGCTTTGACGACGTGTACTGTAACGACAGAAGACAAGAGACTTGATAACAGACAGGCCTTTGTTAAAGAAAAACACATCGTATTTATACATTCTTAAACACAATAAAGTTCAGCTAGATCAGAAGGGGAATAAATTGTTCTGAATAGTTTTCAATTGGCCCAAAGTTAAACGATTTGTGTAATCAAGGTATTTCATGTCCACTGGGTAAAATAAATCTACTAGATTTGAAGAATTGACACTACTGCCTCTACAACCGTTGACTTCAATTGTTGATCACAATTTTTAGCCGCTTCCTATCAATCTGTATCCGTCGCAGTACCGGTAAACTGTCTGTTTGTTTTCGACATAGAACTTTGCACAAATGTGCAGCAGTTCAAGTCGCCACACTCCGTGTAGCACGCGAAGCAAGAGAAGAAAGTACAAGAAAAGCATAATAGAAACAGTGAGCAGAGGTGTGAGACAAAGGAGTAATAAAGAAAAACAAAACAGTTTCATTGAAGATCATAAGTCACAAGGAGTGGATGCATCTGCGTTAGCCACTGAGAACGATTTTGAGCCATGTCACCAATTGTTTCCAGCCATAGATTTTTACAGTCCCGAGGACCCCAGCCTGGAAGTCTACACCTTTCTACGTGGCTTAGACCAACTGTTGCGGATTTCATTGACTGGTGAGGCCAAGTTTTTGTTTAACCGCCGCTAGCTTTTTTCCAGCCTGACTCTATATCCGCTAACATAGCTCGTCGAGGGAGGCGATGGCTTGGCATACGTAACACATGTCCTAACCATCTCAGTCTTTGTAACTTCACGACTTCGTGGATAGACTTCCCCTGTTTACCTAGAACTCTACGCCTAACCTCCATGTTGCTGACCTTATTATGCCACTTTACACGGGAAATAGAACGCAGGCACCTATGATCAAAGACAGCTAGTCTTTTCATGTCTTCCACTCTCAGTGGCCAGGTCTCACAACCATAAAGGAGGACGAAGCGGACTGATGAGCAGTACACCCGCCCTTTGGTCGATAGTCGAACATCTCGTCTACGCCAGAGTCGGCGTAAACTGGCAAATGCGAAACGAGCCCCCTGTATTCGTGCTGAGATTTCGTCAGAGATCAACCCGTTGGCGCTGGCTGATGATACTTCCCAAATAAGTGAAGCGGTCAACGTGCTCTACCACTTGGCTTCCTATTTTTAAACTAGGCGTCGATGTAGTCCAGTCCTGTAACATCACCTTGCATTTGGCGGGAGCGAATCGCATGCCAAACATGCGGTAAACACGGAATTTCTGTCTGTAAACTCCTATGTATAACCTCTAACTATCTTTCAATAAAGCAAACCATTTTTGGCGTTAAACTGGAGGTTAATAAACATGAATGCAGTTAGAGAACGGCAGTGTAACAAGCCAGAGAACTTTTTGTGTAACTGCTCTTTATTTTGACATACTGCATTGGTGTTAACAAGATTAAATTGGTACTTGCTCTGCTTCAAATCACCGAAAATACCCATTGAGTCATGAAGAAAATAAAAGACAGATTCAGCGAAGAAAATTTTCCTTATCAACGAAATCATCTTCACAGGCTGGCTGTACAGTCGTATTTATACTTAGAAAAATACATAACGGTCTATTAGAGGGTGACATAATTGATATAATTACTCAGAAGTGGCTTTAGAAGTGAAAATTAAAAGTTGTAAATTACGTAGTACTCAATGGCGTCTACAAAGTGAAGCCAAATAGTACAAAGGACGTCAGGTTTCCGCTTTTGTGTATGGTGGAGGCACTGGTAGTTCATAAATACAACCCTGAACTTTCTATACAGAAAAAGTTTGTCCAGTCTCTTATTCTAGCTTGGTCATAACCTCTTTACTAATCGTTCTGTGTAAAAATTTTGATTTTTTCTTTCCCTATTTAATTTGACTTTTAGTTTACTTTTGCTTTAATAATTAATTCACTATTGTCACTCTAATATACTCCTTTTGTATATTTTCACACCCTCTTCACACTTGTTAAATTGACACTCAACTACCACTTTTATTCTCACTCAGTAGAAATTTTAACCTTATCAAACTACTATCTTTGTACCGTTGAGTACTACGTAATTTACAACTTTTAATTTTCACTTCTAAAGCCACTTCTGAGTAATTGTGTCGATTATGTCACCCTCTAATAGACCGTTATGTATGATAGAGAAGATTTGTAGCTCAGGTGGATAATTTTGATGTGGTTTTGTTCTCTGAGCTGGATAGTTAGTTTGCGAAGCTTTCATCACCTTACTGGGTGACATCTTCAGCGCATACTTCAAATTGAAGTGAGCTTTTAGGTTTCTCCACGAGTTTATTAATCATTCCTCCTGGTGACCTTGGACGTGATTGGTTGTTTATGTATGTTTTCACACCTTCTAGGTTACTTGTGTTGGAACTGATTGTTTCTGTGACTTGAACTTTGGCCAATCGTGTGTGAAGTTTCTTTCTTATTGGTTGATAAATTTTGTCTATCTCGATGTGTCTATTGATTGATGATTCACTGGAATGCCAAGCTTCTAAAAATTCTCTAGCATTCTTGTTATTTCCTTTGTCTAATATTTGAACGTTGTCCCAGTCGAATTGATGTCCGTGGTTGTCTGTGTGTAGTGAAATGAGGGAGTGTATATCATGTCTTTTGACGGCTAGCTTATGTTCGTGGATACGAAGACGAAGGGGACGTCCACTTTGGCCAATGTAGTATTTTTCGCACTTGTTATAATTTATTTTGGAGATGATATTGGTTTTGTCTTCTTTTGCTGTTGAGTCTTTTGGTTGACATAGAATTGAGTGCAGCGACTTTGTTGGTTTGTGTACGACGTCGATTCCTAAAGGTTTGAAGAGTCTTTTAGTGATTTCTGAGATATCCTTTATATATGGTAAGGCGATTTTCTTTGTGTTTTCCTTGGTGGCTTTTGTTTTGGTAGGTTGGCTTGGGGGTATATGTCTCTTGATGAAATTCCGGGGATATCCATTCTTTTGGAAGACGTCCATGAGATACTTTTCTTCAATTTTTCTTAAGGTGGGAGTGCTGCAGTGAGTCCTTGCTCTCTTGAATAGTGTTTGTATGCAGTTCCTTTTGTGTGCTATTGGGTTGTTGCTGTTGTAATTCAGTATTTGGTCTGTGTGAGTTGATTTCCTATAAACTTGAGTTTCTAATTCTCCTGTAGTTGTTCGCCTGACTAAGACGTCCAAAAATGGTATTTTGTTCTCGGATTCCTCTTCTCTTGTGAATTTGATGTCGTTGAAGACGTTGTTTATTAAGTTGTGAGTTTTGTCTAATTCGTTTCTTTTGATTATTACAAATGTGTCGTCGACGTAGCGTATCCAAATCTTGGGTTTGATCTTTGGTAGAATTATGTTTTCGAGTCTTTGCATCACTGCTTCTGCAATCAAACCTGATATTGGCGATCCCATGGGTGTTCCTTTGACTTGTTCATATATTTGGCCGTTGAATTGGAAGTATGTTGTTAGGCATAGATTTATGCATTCCATCCAGCTTGTGTGTTGCATTTTTGATTGTTGTGGAAGTTGTTCGTCGTTGCTAAGTAATTGCTCCATGGTTTCTTTTGCTAGTTTTTGTCCGATAGAGGTATATAATGCTGTCACGTCGAAGGATACCATTATTTCTTGTTCATCTATTTGGATGTCTCTGATTTTCTCTAGGAATTGGATAGCAGAGTTGATGGAGTGATCACAGGATTCCGTTAGGTGTTTTAGTTTTCTGTATAATTCCTTGGACACTCCCAGGAACTACAACATATAATTTGTCCAAGGAATTATACAGAAAACTAAAACACCTAACGGAATCCTGTGATCACTCCATCAACTCTGCTATCCAATTCCTAGAGAAAATCAGAGACATCCAAATAGATGAACAAGAAATAATGGTATCCTTCGACGTGACAGCATTATATACCTCTATCGGACAAAAACTAGCAAAAGAAACCATGGAGCAATTACTTAGCAACGACGAACAACTTCCACAACAATCAAAAATGCAACACACAAGCTGGATGGAATGCATAAATCTATGCCTAACAACATACTTCCAATTCAACGGCCAAATATATGAACAAGTCAAAGGAACACCCATGGGATCGCCAATATCAGGTTTGATTGCAGAAGCAGTGATGCAAAGACTCGAAAACATAATTCTACCAAAGATCAAACCCAAGATTTGGATACGCTACGTCGACGACACATTTGTAATAATCAAAAGAAACGAATTAGACAAAACTCACAACTTAATAAACAACGTCTTCAACGACATCAAATTCACAAGAGAAGAGGAATCCGAGAACAAAATACCATTTTTGGACGTCTTAGTCAGGCGAACAACTACAGGAGAATTAGAAACTCAAGTTTATAGGAAATCAACTCACACAGACCAAATACTGAATTACAACAGCAACAACCCAATAGCACACAAAAGGAACTGCATACAAACACTATTCAAGAGAGCAAGGACTCACTGCAGCACTCCCACCTTAAGAAAAATTGAAGAAAAGTATCTCATGGACGTCTTCCAAAAGAATGGATATCCCCGGAATTTCATCAAGAGACATATACCCCCAAGCCAACCTACCAAAACAAAAGCCACCAAGGAAAACACAAAGAAAATCGCCTTACCATATATAAAGGATATCTCAGAAATCACTAAAAGACTCTTCAAACCTTTAGGAATTGACGTCGTACACAAACCAACAAAGTCGCTGCACTCAATTCTATGTCAACCAAAAGACTCAACAGCAAAAGAAGACAAAACCAACATCATCTACAAAATAAACTGTAACAACTGTGAAAAACACTACATTGGCCAAAGTGGACGTCCCCTTCGTCTTCGTATCCACGAACATAAGCTAGCCGTCAAAAGACATGATATACACTCCCTCATTTCACTACACACAGACAACCACGGACATCAATTCGACTGGGACAACGTTCAAATATTAGACAAAGGAAATAACAAGAATGCTAGAGAATTTTTAGAAGCTTGGCATTCCAGTGAATCATCAATCAATAGACACATCGAGATAGACAAAATTTATCAACCAATAAGAAAGAAACTTCACACACGATTGGCCAAAGTTCAAGTCACAGAAACAATCAGTTCCAACACAAGTAACCTAGAAGGTGTGAAAACATACATAAACAACCAATCACGTCCAAGGTCACCAGGAGGAATGATTAATAAACTCGTGGAGAAACCTAAAAGCTCACTTCAATTTGAAGTATGCGCTGAAGATGTCACCCAGTAAGGTGATGAAAGCTTCGCAAACTAACTATCCAGCTCAGAGAACAAAACCACATCAAAAAAAGACCGTTATGTATTTTTCTAAGTATAAATACGACTGTACAGCCAGCCTGTGAAGATGATTTCGTTGATAAGGAAAATTTTCTTCGCTGAATCTGTCTTTTATTTCCTTCATGATTAAATTGGTAACCATCGAAGGTTACAAACGTTTGGATTTCATTCATCTCTTCCTGTGATAACTAACCAGTCTTCGGCTCAATGGCTGCTTAGGCCTAAACCAAGCAGTACAAATGGGAAAATTCAACCTCTCTTTGCCTCTTCCTTCCTAGAAGTATTTTGTACTGTTCACCTCCTAATTGGAGAATTTCACAGCCTGTGATGTAGATATACTCATCTGACGAGCCCCATATAGCACAAAATGAGCATTGCGGATCTCACTGCTAGTTACCATCAGTCAAAATAACTTCACACTAAACCTTAGATATTGGTGAAGCGTCCGTCCTAGAAGATGGCATGTTAATAAGGACTGAGCATTTTCATTGAATGAAATCATATGGTGGGAAATTCAAAAATTTCAAATTTTATTCAATGTTTTATAGCATATACTGCATGTAGCTTTAACTTTAATAATAACGATGAATATACACAGTCGTTGTGCACATTCTGTTGTCTTTTTTCTATCTTATATAGCTGATCAAAGGATTTCTACCAGGCATGCTTGGCACGTTAGTATCGTCAAACTGTTCAAATCACACCAACAATAGTCCTGCACGTGGTCATATTGTATTTGTATCCTCTGGTGGGGGAGTATTTCCAGTTCCTCGGTATACAGATTATTGTGCAACTAAAGCAGCCGGTTTATTGTTATCGGAAAGTTTAGAATTAGAATTGAAAGAGATGGGTGTTGCTGACCAAATACACATCACTCGTGTTATACCGTGTATTGTAAGAACGAAATTAGCCGGACATGTTACAGGATCGTGAGTTTCTCAGAAATTATTTATTATTATTATTATAATTTTTATTATTACTATTGTTGGATTAATGAATCTTAAATCAAAGCAAATCCGATTGTTTTAACAGAATTTGGTTTGCAGGATTTGATTGAAACGACGACACTGATGGTTGACAGCGATATAAATCACAGGTTGATAGAAGTAAGAATAATCAACTCACTGGCCGAATGACCAACGAGTTCCTCTTGAAACCTGGAGGCTCTGTGTTTGACTGCTAGTGGTGGAGTGATGGATGCAATGACTCAAACCTACCCGTCATAACCTGAATGCCGTGAATTGATCTCTGCATCCTGACGTATGGCTGTTCAAAACTTTCTTGAGAAACAAACAATCACGAAACACTCCACAAGCAATAGAAAGACAATTATTTGGGATTGAAATCTACGTGTGATTCTAATCAATAATAATAATAGTAATAATAATAATAATAAAATGAAAAACTCAAAACTATCTCAACAGTGCCATTAGACAGCCAGTCATACAGGTAGTGTAGGTTTCTGAGGACAAAACAAGTACTGTAAAACACAAGTGGTTGACTAGAATTCGACTGTAAGAAGTACCTCAGAATCGAGTGGAATATTCTTAGGTGGAGCGGAATCACGCATCACCGCTTCCCGCAGACAGTTTCAGATCAAAACGACCATGATTCACTCAAACAAAATCACATCGTACAACGGAATTTCTACATATATATATACAGAACTACAAGAAGAAGCATTAAATTTAGAGATTAAACAAGGATCAAATCAATATGTGATGTGCAAACATCAAAATAATTATATGTAATATGGGAGGCTAACGGATAACACTCTCAAAGTTAGCTGATACGTCCGGTTAAGTATAAATATTGTGATCAGATCATCCAGGAGGGATTTTCTTAGGAATCTTACCGTCGTAATGGATACGTACAACTGAAGAGTATCAAACTAGGACGAAATAACTGTTCAGTATACTTCCTGGTTTTCAGTAGTCCTCTAACTAATATCAATCCATGATCTAACTTGTTATCAAGCTAGATTAATTCCATTTAAAATCTTCTTTCTACTGAGAAATGTGAATACTTTTCAAGTATTGGTTTTGTAGGGATTTTGTTTGATTGGTTGGAGGATTTCATCATGAGCTGACATCAGTTAGAGAAGCTGTGGAAAACCAGCTGGGAGTACTGGACAGCTGTTCCTCATTCCATTGTTTTCCGAGTGAAAAACTGGACAATCTTAAAGATTGCGCTTCGAAGTTTCAGTAACAGTGTCGTTAATTTTTACGTAGTGAGGCAGGCACACTTAAGACCATGAAGAGGGTGGATTGATCATATCTTCACCCTTCGACAGATTCTAGAACATAGGCATTCTTACCGGCATCCAACAATCGTTATATTTCTTGACCTAAAGGCGGTATTCGATTCTGTCGACCGAAAGGTACTCTGGCGATGATTGATTGTAAAGGGAATGCCGAGAAGATACATTGCACTGATTAAGGCACTCTACTGAAACTCATGCAGCCAGGTGAGGGCTTACGGCGAGTTGTCACCTGATTTGGTGACGACTAGTGGTGGCCGTCACGGATGCCATTATCCCATTATCCTAGTTTGTAAATAGGGAGTGAAGTGGTAGAGCATGTTGACCAATTCACTTATTTGGGAAGTACCATCAGCCAATGCCAACGGCTTGATCTCTGACGAAATCGCAGTATGGAAACAGAGGGCCAGTTTCGCATATGCCAGTTTACGCCGTCTCTGGCTTAGACGTGATATCCGGCTGGTTATCGACCAAAGGGGAGTGTACTGCTCAGCAGTTCTCTCAGTCCTCATGTATGGCTGCGACACCTGGCTATTGAGAGTGGAAGAGATTAAACGACAAGCTGTCTTCGATCATAGGTGCCTGCGTTCTATCTCCAGTGTGAAGTGGTATAATAAGGTGAGCAATATTGAGGTTAGGCTTCGGTCGAGTGCTAGGTAGGTGAAAGGGGAAATCAGTCGATGAGGCTTTAGAGTTACATCGACTGAAATGGTTAGGACATGTGTTACGTATGCATAGTCATCGCCTTCCTCGACAATGGGCAATGTTAGCCGACTGACATAGGGTCAGGCTGGAAAAGAGCTAGCGAAGGTCAAACCAAAACATGACTTCATCAGTCAATGAAATCCACAACAGTTAGTTTAATCCAGCCACCACGTAGGAAGGTGTAGACTTCCACACTGGTTGGGGTCCTCAGAACGGTAAAAACCAATGAAGGCTGGAAACAATTGGTAATATGGCTCAAAATCGTTCTCAATGGCTGGTTCAGATGCATCCACTCCTTATGACTTATGATTTCCAATGAAACTGTTTTGTTCTTCGTTACTACTATTCCTTTGTCTCACACCTCTGTTTACTGTCTCTAGTATGCATTTCTTCTACTTTCTTCTCTTGCTTTGTGTGCTACATGAACAAAACTGTAAAAATTGGTCACTTGTCCTGCCCATGTCGATTTTCTGTTAACAGATCTTTGCAAAGACCTATCAACTCTCCTTGTGAGTATCACATTAAGTCAGGATGACGGTCATTGAATACGCTCAAGATATTATCCAAGTCGTAGTTCTCATCGCATATAATGAACATGTCATCCACGTATTTTTGCAGGAGTTAAGCTCCTTTATAGGATGCTTTAGAGTACCGCTCTCCGTACTAGCCAAAAAGAAATCTGCTAGCAACAGACCAGGTGGCGAACCCATAGATACCCCATCTCTCTCTGTCTATACATTTCGCCGCTGAAAATAAATTTGGACACTTAAAGTACATCGAAGTATGAGGTCTTTTGGATATGCTGTGGGCATTCCTACGCTGACATTATCTAAGTCTATGTAATTACAAATCAGACATACAGTTCCATTTTTAATGGAACATTGGTAAAAAGTAAGCATACTTCAAGTGGTAACACAGTTTCCCACTAACAATGATATCATTAACGCTGTTAACAAGTTCAACAACATTATTCTGGTAGGTACGTATATAAATTTCTATTAGTGTGTTCCATTTGATTTTAATGCCTGGTTCTAGAAACTTTCTTTTCTAAACACAGGAAATCTCCATTAATCCAACTGTTAGAACCAGATGAATGTGCCAGACAGATTGTGGACGGTGTTCTTCAGAACAAGTCAGTTGTTTACATTCCTCGTATTGTTCGCCTAATGGCTATCTTAAAAATGTAAGTAAATTTTACGATGTCCTCGACTAGTTTGTCTACTTCAATGAAAATTTCTCTGTCATTTTGTATTCTCCCTCTTTTTTGTAATTTTATCATCAGTCGACATACTATTTAAAGAATCTTCAGAAAGCATTCAGCGTGAGACGTCTAATTCTAATGATTGTCACCCACGACCCACAGGCGAACAAATACGCAAAATTCACTCATAATGAGACAAGTATATCTCATCTCTCAGCCATCAAAGCAGAATCCACTGAACAGGGAGAGGGGAATTTTAGCTCTAGTCAGCTGGCAGTATAGTTAGGTGTTCCCATACCTAACATAGAAAAGACCCACCTTACTACTACTTCATAAGGAATTATGATGACATCCATTGGAAAACCAGTCAGTAGTGAACATGAGATTGTTACTCAGGTGTTAAGCTCAAATAACTACTGGCTAGGTGTTATTAACATGGAAATTGTCTTCATTATTCCGACTAAAGCACTACTTAATAAGCATAAACGTATAAACGAACTGCTTTACCATATTGGCTGTCTAGCTGTAAGAAACTGTCTAACACATCTGAGGGTTCATTTAAGAATAAGCTTGAAGAATCTAGGATAAATAGCACATAACTGGACACTTCGACTTACTTCATCATATATTTATACATTGCTGACTGATGGTAACGTCCACGCGTAGAAGAGTATACACAAGGTGACACAGATTTCATCTGTTGGACACACTTAAAGTCAGACAAACCTCATCTGAAATCTAAGAAAGTGGAGATACAGTCTGCTAGACAAAAGAAGAGAGAGAGAGAGAGGAATGACTGGAGAAAGATCATAATTCAAATTCAACATCGAGGAAATTGAAAGATGAAAAGACAAAGGATAGTTTTATTGCAATCACCATAGGAAAAGTTGCGAACGTTAAACAAAATTAACAAGGAAATCTTATGTGAAAGAACACTGAAACCTACTGAAACCCTTATGGACATTTTAGGAAGGAAGAAAAAGCAGGGCAAGGAATGGTTGTCCATAGATACGGAGAAGCTAATTGAGGAGAGAAGGATAGTGAAACACAGGATAAACCAGTGCAAAGATGGACAACGGAAGGAGTAGCTGAGTTCGGTGTACAACATGCACTGAAGTCAGTGAAAGACAGTGAGGCAAACCCATTTGCCATACGTAGGAAACTAAAGAAACGTTAAACAGATCAATTTTTGACCGAGTACTGCCAGCACAATCTATCGAGAAGTATCATCAGGAGACAAACTACTCAAGACTACTACTCATCCGAAGAAAGCAGAAGTTTTGAAAGCTGAAAAAGCAGTAAGACCACATGAACTTCCTCCAGAAACACTGAAAACGGACACACAGACCTCAGAGCACATGATCATCTCACTAGTGGAAGAGATTTAGAAGGAAAGTAGGGTACCTGCTGAACAGAAGAAGGAAGAAATTTCCTGTCAAACAACCAAAAAAGGACAACCTAAATCTATAATACCACTGGTGTGTCGTCCAACTGATGTCCATTCCAATCATAATAATTAAAAAAGTTACTTAAGCCCATCCTCAAGGAAAAATAAGGAAAAAATCAAATGAAAATTCTTGTTTCTCAGTGTAGGTGTCCAGAGCTCCCAAGGATTTTAAATGATATTTACTAGTTTTCAAGTATTGGTTTTATATAGGGATTTTGTTTGAGTACATAGAGAATTTCATCATGAGCTGACATCGGTTAGAGAACCATTAGAAAACCAGCGGGGAGTACTGCCAGACAGCTGTCTCCTCCGTCCTAGTT